AGCGGTTGCAATATCTTGGAACAGTGTGGAATGAAATCCCTGTAGAACGCAATCATTCCCAGGTATCTTTGTAGGCTCTTTACGTCATGTGGACTTGGGTATTCCGTTAGCGCGCGCAACTTATCTTCGTTGGGACGGAGCGTGCCGTTATCCACGACGAATCTAAGGAGGTTAATCCCGGGCGCGGCCAACTGAACCTTTCCGGGATGAATCGTGAGCCCAGCATTGCGCATTTGCTCAAGTACATTGCAAAGGTGGTTGACATGCTCCTCAATAGTTCTCAAAAAAACAACCACGTCATCCATGTATGCCATGGCGAATTCGTACTTCAAGTTCCCAAGTACAACATCCACCAGGCGTTGAAAACTGACTGGAGAGTTAGACAAGCCAAACGACAGTCGGGGAACTCGAACAACACTCTGTGGTAGATGAAAGTCGTTTTTGGAACGTCTGATGGGTGGATCTCGATCTGAAGAAACCCGCGACTGCAATCCAGCGTTGTAAACGCGGTCGCGTGACCGAGCGCGTACATCACGAAAAAAAGGCTGGGGAAAGGGAAGCTGTCTCGTACGGACACATCGTTAAGCCGCCTGTAATCCACACAGAGTCTGGCTGTTCCGTCTTTTTTCGGAGCGAGAACAACGGGGAACGCCCAGGGTCTTTTCGACTCACGTACTGAACCGGTGTCGATCATTTCCTCGAGCGCCGCATCAAGGAGTGCCCTTTTGTGGACGCTGATCGGTCGAGGGTTGCACCTCCGAGGCGGCGCGTCAGCGGTTTCAATTCGGTGCAGCAGAATGTCAGTCTTTCCATGTGTTTCCGTGAACATCGGTGAGAAAGACTGCAGGACGGCTTGCAGCTCCTGCTTCTGCTGGCTGCTTGCGTGGCACTTTCGCATCGATGCTCGAACGACGGCAGGCAAGACGTCTGGCACATTGGTGAAGTAGGCTGCAGTGGTCGGGTTACGGACGCAGTCCTCCCGTTTGGTAAACGGAGTCAGCTCCGGGTGTTGTCCGAGCCGGTATCCACCGCCAGAAAAGTCGAGTGTCATGTTTTCGCCTGTAATGAAATTTCGGCCCAAGATCACGGGTACCACGAGTCCTGGCAGATAAAGAAATCGCTGACGCCGCTTCTTTCCATTAAACCAAACCTGCAGCCTCACGGCTCCTCCAGCTGTCATCGCTGTACCAGAAGCTAGCTTCAAACGGGTTTCGCACTCCCGGAGGCTTATCTTTTTTGATTTGCAGAGTTCGAAAACGAAATCCCCTATAAGCGAGATAGCGGCCCCAGAATCCAAAAGTGGGGCAATTAGAAAATCGAGCAGTGAAATTGTCGTGCGCGGTTCAATGATGTTAGGCTCGGGCTGGACTAGACATACCGATGGAATCTGTGCCGCGGTCTGACCGCTCCCAGGGACTGCAACGGCCGTCGGCGAACGGCTGTCTGGTTTGAGCGTCGTCGGCCGTAGTAGTTTCCCTGGTTGTTTTGGTTCCGGCCCTTTGCCGCCATCTCGTGCCAGCTCTTGTTTGTAGTGTCCAGAAGTCTTCGACACTGGTTTCGGTGATGGCCGCGCTGCTCGCAGTGGTAGCAGCAGTCCGACGACAGTTGCCTGCTTAGGTCACCCGCACCGAGGTGCCCGTCGGAACGCCTCCAGTGATCGGGTAAGGAACCACTATGGGAGGGCCTCCACCAGGCTTGCGACTGGCTGTTGTGGGGAGGGCTTGTTCCGTTTCAGAGGGGGTCAATGCTGCTGGGCTGCAGGTTTGAGACCGCCCCGTGGCAGTTTTCGCCAGCACTTGCAGGAGCAGAGTGATGAAGATGGTTCGCTTGGGTGGTGATCTCTGTTGGGCCCCAGCTTATGATAGGGCACGGCACACGACCTCCCACCTGTCGTGGCGACCCCCGCGCGAAACCCTCACGGGCCTCGCAGTGACCTCCGAGGACCTCTCGGGGAGAGTTAGGCGAACATACGCTTATCCCGCACGGAGATTGCCATGCATGCCAAGCCAACTCTCCTGGTTGACGTGGTGGGGAAGGGAGGTCTCGTTCGGATAGTCCACTTGCGTGGAGGCCTCGGGGCCCCGCCATGCGCATGCCGGTTCGAGCACGTACTTGGGTGGCGGCGGCGTCACGTAGTTCCGCTCGGCATGAAGAGCTTCCTCGATGAGGCGGGCGCCCCGGGCTAGCTCTTGAAGGGTCTCAAAGGTGCGGTTGATCAGGTAGACGTGGTACTTTGGGTGACACTGTCTTGTGACCCGAGCTACCCTTAGCAAAAACAGACCGTACTTCGAACGAAGTTGAAACATATTGAATACGAATATTCATTTTTTATTTATTCTGTATTATTTTGGCCGCACTCGAAATACGTGCGTAATGTATTCAAAATACATTATAAATATGAATCAAAAAATATTTTAGATATACCAAAAATATTATCCCTTCACACTCAAGATGCCATTTGTGCATTAAAAACCGGTTACGGAATTTTTTTTATTTACGATTGTGTCAGGAAATGGTGTCCCTGTGGTATTTGAAGGCACTACTAAATACATCCCACAAAGCTACATTAGAAACGAACACAAACACAAACACCATGACGCCCTGAACAGCTCATTCACAGTCCCGTTAACTGCTCTAGAGCATTATATAGCCTACATATTGAAGGTAATCATTTTTTCGGTGACCACCTCTGCGCCTATTAAGGTTCCAAATATTCGATCTTCTCCTCGGGAGTCTGTCAAAGGGGAAACAGTGTTTTGAAGTTCGTGGACGATATCTCTTACTAAAAGCATTGGTACAACTAATAACAATTCGGCGCAGTCCCTAAAACAATATCCACACAAACGGCTCATAAAATACATGTTGTTGCTTCTCTGCGTAGCACCACTCAGGACAAAGCGAATCAGGGCAGTTTCTTCACTTTAAAATACTTTAAACGACTTTATTTTCGTGAGGACTTAATTCTCGCAAAGTTCGCGAATCGCGTACAATTCCGAAAAATAGGTCGCGTGAACAATTCCGGCAAAATGTAAAAACATTAAAATCTATATTGCGATCCCAGCGCGTCGCGAAAATTAGAATTTGCGAATTATTCCAAAACTCCAACTTTGACCTAAATCACGAAATAATAAGCCCGCGAAAAATAAGCATTTTACAGAAGTTATTTTGCCTTTCCTTTTTAGTAGTAGACTATTTAATATGGTAGTTAATGTCACTATAATAAGTCACTATTCACATCACGTACAATGGTGAGTATACACGTTCAGTGAACTAAAATTGTGCTAACGAAATCACGCCAAACGTACCTGTTCACAGCATCTGCTGAAGCTTTCCAGCATCAGCAAATGTTGTGGTTGTAGTTCCCGAACCCCGTTTGTGATTGGTGTGCAAGGAACTGATCAGGTGTGTTCTTGATAGAAAGAAGGAAACATAAACTGGGCTGATTTATCAGTGCGATGCTGCGCAATTCAGTTGACAAGCTAATCAAATGTTGTGTTTAGGCGCTTCAGTGTACTCCATATCTGCTTGAAGTGAACTTCTAGAAGGGGCGCGAGCTTTTCAATATTTTGGTAGTTTAAGTCAAATTACCAAAGTATTGCAGTCAAAAGGTACTTAGAGTATAACACAAAAGTATTTACGATTTTCAGGTATTTTAAGAGTACTCTGCACGTATTTTTGATTGCTTCATTTTTTTAGGGTTGGAGTATATTTTGCATTAATTAAATAAATATTTCAAGAATTATATGTGAAATGTATTTTGTTCCTATTAATTTAGTATTTACGTATTTTAAAACGCACGAACGAAACTTCAAATGTAGTTTAAGTAAAGGTATTTAAAAATGATTTTTAGAAGTATATTTTAGTACTAAGTAAAAAAAAAAAAGAAGTTTATATTTTCGGTCTATTTTTGTGTACTTACAATTATGAACTCTATTTCAAATACACTCAAATTAGAATGTGGTATATTTCAAACGTATTAGTTTTCGCTAAGGGCTATAGTCTCTCCGACTCCCGGGACTTCGGGTCCGCCGTCTTGAAGAGCTCTTGCATGATTCGAACGTACTGGACCAGACTTTCATTTGGGTGCTGCGTCCTTGCCTCGAGCTCTCGGAGAATCTGCGTCGCGTAGCCTGCAGACAGGAACTCTTCTCGAAGCCTTGTCTGGAAGTCCGCCAGGCTGGTGAAGGGGACCTATGACCCCAACCAGCACTTGGTGCTGGCTTGCAACGCCAGCGGGACAATCCGCTCCACGATGAAGGCTTCCGAGGCACCGGAGGCAAGGTGGTACGTCTGCATCTCGCCCAGGAAGTCTGCCACGGACTTGACGTCGTCGTACCAAATGTAGACCGGAACAGTCAAGTGTGGTCGGGACTCTCGCGGTGGGGCCTCCTGCTGGCCCGGCCTGTGGGCCAGGCGCTGTATCATGGAGTCGCACACCTTCGTGAGCTTCGTAAGCAGGTTCATTTGTGCCGCTGCGGCCATCGCGGCTTCCTGCTCCCGCGTGAGCATTCCTGCAAGCACAAAAAAAAAAAAAAAAACGCACCCAAAAACCCAACACAAGTGCGCAAAACGATTGCCGCGGTCACAAAAACACAGTCAGAAACACGCCAATACAACAAACGCGGACTTGACCGAAGCACGGAACGACGGTAGGAAACACGGGGTATGAGAAAAAAGCTTACCGAAAGAAGAAACCAAGCCCCGTGAAATTCCTGCGAGTGGGTAGCATACCCCGGTTGGGCGCCATTGTGGTCGGTTTGCCCTGATGCATACCCGACCCGGAGGAATAACACGGAGCCGACGGTTTCAACAACGAGAAACTACATTTAATGGGACATGGACGAGACGATTAACATGGTTACCTGCGGCGCCTGAGTCCAGGCAGCGACTCCCTGCGCGCCGCCTCTGATGCGCCTTATCAAGGCGGCGCACGCGACGTACACGTGGCTGGCGTGACGTCACCGCCACGCGGGAAAAGTTCGGCACCTTTGCCTCGCAGTCGGGCTACTGGGCTGGGGAGCCGCCAGGGCGCCCACAAGCTATCCAAAAAAAGATGACATCCTTAGTAGAGAATAATCATCCTAACTCAAGTTTAGGCAAAAATATTGTAACAAACGAGACCTACCAAGCTGCTCATTAGAAGTCCAACCCCCGATCTTGCATCCAACAAAAGGAATCTCGAACTGCAGCTGTCTAGCGAGGAGAAAAAGAAAGAAACAATAAAGCAGGCAGTTGCTTACATTGAAAAGACAGGCGAGTTGTCGCTATAGCTTACCATACGAACCCCGCTGGACTGCGCCTTTCAGCCAGCCGCTGCCCGCATATATTGTGACAAATGAAGGCAAGAAAACGATGTATCATAAACTTACAATTATGGTTTAATCGGCAAACGTGTGCTAGAGACAAAATGAAAGAACACACGTCAATAAGGCAGCAACGAGCGAAGGTGCGTCGACGTGACAGCTGGCTGTTGCGAGTGTAAATTAGTTAAGAAATCGCCAATACCACGCTCGGCTTCTTAATATTATCACTCGTCATCTTGAATATTCGACCCCGATTGTTCGATAGTTCGCTAGGGAAAGACGTACTTATCTTTTACACTCGCAGTATGCATACACAAAAAAAATTCTAGATGCGCGGAGAAGCATTTCTTTTCGGGCGTACACGCGGCAATATGCAGACAGCTTTGAGCGAACAAAACTGCGAATACAGTCATTTGGGTAATTCATGAAACAGGAGTCTATCAAACGTCTACACAGGCGGACTTTTTTAGACCAGACGAATTTTTTCGGTCCAGGCGACTTTTATTCGTTGCGTTCCAGTTTAATTTAAATCATAATTGGAACGCTACAATATTTTTTTAATAACCCCTTGCTGAAATTGATGTTGGCACCTTTGTTGTTTTTAATTGACGCGGTGTTGCCGCTAGATGAATAAAACCATGATGACATGAGAAGAAAGTGTTCGAGTTCTTTTTAAATGTCGTGCACTCGTATCTAAAACTGTGGTACTATTTTATGCCCACCGCATAAACTGCGGTGGGCATAAACTATTCTGTGCGGTGGGCATATTTTGTGCGGTGTTTGTAGACATGCTATCAATGTATTTGACGTGTATTTGTACTTGCACTTGTCTCTCCTGCCTGTAGACAAGCCCATCAAGTAAAAAAGGTGTGGTGCAGGGTGTTTATTGTTGCTCGGCGAGGTGCCCATAGAGAGCTGAAGGTAACTCATTTTGTTAGATCTTGGTTGTACGAAAATAAAATATTATGTATATATTTTTTTTTATTGACAAAAGAGGTGACAAGCCTGTTGATATATTAGGCTCAAGCCACCATATTTCATTGAAAAGCGGAATGGAAAGAGTTAAAGCAAATGACGAGCGTCGATTTGGCAGAAGAAAATGGGGCACAAAAGATAAATTGATTTTTGACAACACAGTGCAGAATGTTATTTTACTCGAAACATATCACGATAGAGTAAAATAAACATTATTTACTTCCGTGATTTATTTTATCCAGTAATCGCTTACACCAAGAAAATTACAGAATAATGCGTTAGACCACTTGACTACGAGAAAGCACTTACGTGTCAAGCCCAAATTCTTGTTGAATCACTGTACCCCACTGAATAAAGTGCATGCGCTCAGTGTCGTGTTTATGCGAAAAGTGGTACGTAGTCTTTAAATGATTTTTGCCTGGAAACTAACACAATATACATACCAAATCACCACCGGCTTGCAGCACAATGCAACCTCTGTAACACCACAACTCTAAATGCTTTTTTAGCCTTTTGCACTGACCCTTCTTTAGGGCTCTGTCGAAGAGAAAACAAGTAAAGAAACAAAGAAAGAAAATAAACAACGGGATGAAAAAAGGACAACTAATCCTAATATCCGAAATTAGATTTTTTTTTTTTTTTTAATTTTACTTACCTTTGACGCGTCATTGAACTTCCAGCTTTTTCTGGAACAACGTGCATGGGTGTCTAGCTCGTCAGTTCTGCGAAACTTCTCGGGACTAGCACATCCCTCGGAGCAGTCCACATCCCCGCACAAACTCGCCCAGTCGAGCGAATCAACGAAGGAACACTATAACAGCACACGACACGAGTCAGCAACGGCAAGTTCAGATCGCAGAAATTAGTGGCTCACACAATCCGGCTGGTCCCGATATCGAGGTTTCGAAATGGTGCGCTCGAGCGAGGTCTCCTGGGAAGGCCACCGTCATCGGTTTGCCCTCGCTGGGGACGGAAATAGGGCATGTTTCATTAGGTTGTGATCCAAGCCAACGCTCCCTGGGAGCCTGCGCGACGTACCGTAGCGCATGACGATGTGGTATAGAGCCCTCTGCGCAGCCAGCTTCGGCCAAGGCGATCGGGCGCTTGCGCTCATCGATGTTACCACTGAGTATAAATAGTCCTTTAGCAAGGCACAGTTCCTAAATGGAACAATAAGCACCTGCGAGAGTTCTGTGCTATAAAAGCGCTTCCGCAAATACATTTTTGGTCGCGATTCGACTATCTGCTTGGGTCATCTTCCGCTTTTGCTAAGACATAACAAGCCCATTGAAGCATTAGCCCCAACCCGCATGCAGAGGTGGATGCTTTTGTTGGCAGCCTATCGCTGCGCCTGGCAATATACGAAGGGTCAGTTTTTCGAAAATCCGGACGAGCCATCGCGCATTTCACTAAATAACACGCATGATGTGAGCAAGTCTGTTGCATCCCAAACTGACCAACCCTCTGGGAATGAGAAGCGCCAGACATACTAAATTTTGCTTCTTACATTCGAGAGTTCCAAGTATAGGTGAAACAATTTCAATCGAGGAAACTAGACCAAGTTACCCTGCGTGGGAAGTTGGCATCGCCTTGACAAGTGTCAGTGCGGTAAGTTGCGTCATAAGCGTGAACAGTGAACAGCACTTCGTGCTCGCCAACGTACTCTTAGAGACAACGTTGCCTTTCTCGGGGCAAGCAGTGATCCGTCGTCCGCTGCGCAACCCGGCCCAGACTCCTGCCGACTCATACCTGAGACTTCGCGGAGCGCCACATTGCTTCGTCTCCGCCGGTTTGCAACATGGGTTCGTACACAGTAATATAAAACGAAGGAAGTGAACGCAAGGAAACGGCGACACAAACAGACGTTTCAAAAAGAGGACTACCGGAAGCTGCCTCGGCTGCTTTTGAAGCCCTTTACCTGTGCCGATCCCCATCTGTCGTTCATCTGCTACAAGAGCCAGCGCGCTAAAGTGAAAATTAAAAAAAAAAAAAAAAAATAGTGCGGGAAGTGATGAATTTTGTCAGGGTGCCGACTTGAGCTTTTTATTTTATATATTTTTTTCGGTATACCTGAGAGCGTAACAAATGCTATCATCTGTACTTGCTGAATACAGAATATTGTCTTCCGTTTCACCTTCTTGCGTATTTTGTCACAGAAAAAGTAATTTCATAGAGGTGCCAATTAACATTACGCCTTAATTATTCCGTTGATATGGTTTTAATTGTTTCATGCTGGTCAAAACTACCCTGTTTTCCTGGGCCTTGCTTTTTGAATTATCGGCCTATTTTATTTGACAGTGTTTCACCTGTTTTCATATTTAACTCAAAACCCCGATTTTTGTTATGCAAAATAAAGCTCGACGCACAACTCTTAAATTTAGCAGAAATATACGACAAAGATAAAAACCCCTATTTAAGTAACAAGCAAAAATAAATAGTGCAGTACATCTTCTTGTTTAAGTTTTCTTTTTTTTTACCTATTCTATGATACAGAAAGTGAGTTTATCCTTCTCTTTTTAGGGCGCTTGAAATAGATTGATTGCATATTCAGTTAAAATATTTGAATGCATTTGCAGGTTATGCAGAAGCTACCTCGAACATTCATGCTTCAGTCACTTGGAAATTATTCGGGTTTAACATGTGGTTATCAGAATTTCTACAACGAGACACAGAGGGGTCAGACTTACACAAAATATGATGCCACATCTAAGTTTCCGGAGTACACGTGAGTACTAAAAATAGTCATAATATTGACAAATAAATCACAGCACGATCGGAGTTTTAACGTATTTACTTTGCAGGGAGAGAGCACTTCACTATGTAAAAAATGTGACTGGAAACAGAATATATTTGGGCCCTAAACGAGGTGAGCTAACGTCTTTCCTATCAAGCATGCACTTTTCAATCCCGAACGCCGTGACAAAACGAATAACATCCGTTATATCAACACGATAGCGTTAGGGAGCTCGAGTCGCAGAAAAGCCAGCCTCAGTGGCGTGGCAGAGACGCCTGCGTTGGTGACGTGACCCGAAAAAAGTTATTGGTCGAATAACTCATGACGTCACAGCCACATGACCTCAGGTAGGAATTTCGAACAACCCCCAACGCTGATGCGAAACGTGACGTCACACGTGGAAAAAACGTAAATGATAAACTTGACATGTAATGGGAATTAAAGTTAGCCGCAAGTCTCATACGATATCCCTTTATGAAATAATTCATTTGCCTTAGAAAAAAATTTAAGAATTTTAAGCGGGATTTGAACCCACGAACCTTCGGATGCGAGCCACACACGCTACTATTCAGCCGACGCAAGGCACGCTTGCAAGGGGGTTGAAAAGGCCATGCGAACGCGGCCCGATAGCGTTATCGCGTTCTACTCTTAAAGGCGAAGCTTAAGCGTCCCCAGTTTTTTTTTGTTAAAAAAGGATAGCTTTTGACTTAGAAATCCACTTCTCACCGCTTATTCCTTGAGTATATAGGCCATTGGGTAGTACTTTTAGAGCCCAGTTCTTAGGGGCCCGTTCCCAGCTTGAGCGGCGTTGGCGTCGGCATCAACGTCGCCGTCGGCGTCGGCGTAACCAAGGTCACCCCAAGGTCACGCGGCCCCCAAGGTCATCCCAGGATCACCCCAAGGCCACGTGACCCCCAGAGGTCACGTGATCCCCCGAGGCCACGTGCCCTCCCCCGGTCACGTGACAGTCCCCCCCCAGGTCACGTGCCCACCCCCAGGGTCACGTGAACCCTCGCCGAGGTCACGTGACATCCCCGATGACACCATCATCACTGATGACGTCACCAGCATCCGCATCGTCATCGTCATCATCACTGATGACCTCACCGGCATCCGCATCGTCTTCGTCATCATCACTTATGACGTCATCAGTGACGTCGCTGATGACCTCACCGGCATCCGCATCTTCATCATCACTAATGACGTTATCAGTGACGTCACCGATGACCTCACCGGCATCCGCATCGTCATCGTCATCATCACCAATGACGTCATCAGTGACGTCACTGGTGACGTCACCGACATCCGTATCGTCATCGTGATCATCACGGATGACGTCATCAGTGACGTCACTGATGACGTCACCGTCATCAGCATCGTCATCGTCATCATCGCTGATGACGTCATCGGAGTCCGCATCGTCATCGTCACGGATGTTGTCATCAGTGACGTCACTGATGACATCATCGGCATCGTCACGTGACCCCCCCGGTTCCCTTCACCCCCCCCCCCCCCCCCGCGCAGTGCCCTTCCCT